GGAAACAATTACATGCAAACAAGAAAATGCAGGTCCTCTCCCAAAATAAATGCTAATATAGAGATGGTTTCCCAAAGAGAATGACATATGACCTGGATCTTCATGATGGTTGGAACAGGACCTTCCAGGAATGGATGTGTGAGGAATTTCTGAAAGGGAGATGAGTATGAGAAAAAGAAGTTGGGCGGTAGAAAAGCTTCAGGTGCATTTGGGAATAAGGAATGGATGGATCTGGCTCTAAAAGCGACTGACCTGTGTTATAATGGGCCAAAAAATAATGCATTACACCATACAAATTTGAGCAAAGAAGGCTTCTCTAAGTTGGAAGTGTTAGCTAGAAGCAACCTTGGGTCTTGCCTTCTCTGCTTTGATAGCTACCGCCCTTATCACCCCTAATGCACAGATAAACTCTTCTACCTCTCTTCTTCTCCAAGGAAGAACAAATTCTCCTTCCTCAACCTGACAGCCTTCGCCTTTACTACCACGGTTACCTGAAGCCATAATGGACATCACAAATCTTCTGTAGACCTGATGAAACCACATTCGCTCTTGCATGCACACAGTTTCAAAGGTATGCAAATATTTTTAAACTTTATATATGGAATTCTTAGTATCATTTTGTCATTCTAATATTTTTTCCCCAATCAAGTGATTCCAAAGTAACTGTTATCATTCTGACAGGGTTGGGGTGTTGAAAATCTTAAGTATCTTAACTGCCATGACCACCAAGACAGACAGTTCTTGTTTGCCTGGCCTACATCACTGCAGTCTCTATAGATTGAGAAATATTCACTTTTGCCTTCTTTCATGGGAAAAATGCCAAGGGGAAATTATTCAAAAATCAGTAAACTAACTTCCTTTGAGAATTATGGTCCTAAAGTCAAAAGGCCGACACCAGGGCCAGCTCATGCTTTTGGAAGTAGGTACTTAAAGCTAACAAGCATCACAGCCTGGGTTGGTGTTTCACCTCGCATTGCTTTATTTGCCTTCACTGAGCTTTCCTACATGACTACTTTTTCTGCTTCGTCACTCTAGTAGAAGATATGCTAGCTGAGCATCTACAAAAAGCACCAGAAGTTTACTGTAAAAATCAGCCTCTTATCTCTATAGCTGGTCACCCCAAATGGAACGCATGAAGTTCATCTTTGAGCTCCCTACTTTTCATACCTTATTAATACAAGAACGGTACATTTTTATGAGGCAAACACATAATAGTTGCTCAAGTTTCCATAAGAACGAGCACAATGTATTTTAACCCTAAGACTGAGCACAACAGATTTTAAGATTCAAAGATATCTGATATTTGCTCTATCCAGTCAACCTAAGAAAATGATTGGTTCTGGGAGGGGGAAAAAAAGTCATAGTATTTTAAAAGATTGGGAACAGCTGTTTTAGTGCCTTCCCATTTGACTCAATTTCTCTAAGTACGTCCAGGTCAAAACTCATGCTCAGAGCAAAAGAGAATCTCAAACTCTAATTTCCAAGGGAAGGGGCTTCATACCAATTTTAGACTTTCCCCCTAGGCCTGCTGGGAAGCATTATACCCAAGATCCTTGTGGGCAGGGCCAGGTTCATTGGCTTGCAGCCTGGGAATCTGCACATAGCTCTGTGCTTAGAAGGGTCCCTCACTAAGTTCAATATTCTGTTGTCATTGTCTTGAAATACTCAATAATTTTTGAATAAGGGGGCCCACATTTCATTTTGCACTTAGCCCCATAAATTCTGTAGCTGATTCTGTTCCTAAGAACCTTATATCAGAATGCTTTTGGCTGCCAATAAACTCAGCCAAAAATTGGCATAAAGCTTGGGGAAAACATCTCAAATAGCCAGAAATCACAAATTAGGTTAGCCTCAGGACTGCCATAATTCAATAATATCACCAACCAGTGATAAAACAGTTATAAAACAGTTATAAAATCTTTTATGTACCTATGCTCTGTTTTCAGGCATCCCAATTAGGATAGGTTTTATATGAAAATTATATAAAAATTTTTCTCCAAGGTGGTAGGTGACACAGTATTTTGAAGGCATGACCAGCTTATCATATATTCAAATCAAATGACAGAGTTCTCTATGATGTTAATAGTGGAATATAGAACTAACAGAGAACTAGACCTTGAGTAGCACTGCAAGGTTACTAGGTATCTAGTTACTAGATACTTTACCTGGCTCATGCAATAGTGGAGGAGACTATATAATCTCTCTAGTCAACTGATTGTGCAATCGCCAATGAAGAGTTATTTCCAACGTCTCTTCTGCTAACTTGAAAACCTTCTCACATAAATTTTAGTAACACTATTTGAAATAATTTCATAGCCCCCTACATTGTGATAGTTTGGGGGTTATTTCAGGTATAAAATTATCTTACACAAACACATAAAACTTTTTTATACTAATGTATTTTTGAGTAATTTTTCATATATAACGCATTCCTTTTTTAAGAGAGAAAGTCACTTAGCTATTTTCCTCTCAGTTCTCATCACCTCGACTTTAGGTACCTTCCCATACTTAACAATCACTGGCTAGATTCACCCTGGAAGCCAGGGCAGAGGGTCACATTTCCTGAAGCACCTGTCCAGTGCGAGGAGGATAGAGGGAGGAAGGCTCTAACAGAAAGGAGGTGGGGTCTCAGTGGTCCCAGGAAGAACAACTCATAGTAACTGCCCTGTCCCAAACTCCTCTTCCCACACTGGGAGACGATCTTGCCAAAGTCAACTCAGGTCCCGATACTCTTGGCCCTACAAGACATAGCTGAGTAAGTCCAGATGCTCACGAGGGACAGTTATCTCACAAGTTGTGGCAGGGAGATTGTAGATTTGTGCTGTGAGAGATAAGGTAGGTCAGAGACAGACCACTAGAAGGCTTGGGTATCAGTTTTTACGCTCTACGTAATTGTACCGGAAGAACATGGCAGCAGGATTCGGAGCCCAGAATTTCCCAACTCTGCTTCTTATCAGTTGTGTAGCCCTGGACAGGTCGTGTGAGTTCTCCGATGATTGGTTTGCTCATCTGCAAGGCAGATGCCATTGGCGTTGCGGCTGCCACACAAGATGCATGTGGTCATTAAAGGAAGAAAAGAACATGCCATGCTGAGCAGCATCCCACTCCCTGGTGGGTATTCAATTAATGTTAGGTCTTACTATTAGAAATTGGACAATAAAATAGCCATTGGAAGTGTTTAAGCAGGTGACTCAGTGTTTCCCAAACTTTGCTTCACATTAGAATCACCTGGGGAGCTTTTAAGACTCCCACTCCATGCCAATGAAATCAAAATGCCTTGGGGTGGGAGCCAAGTACCAGTGCTTTTCAAAGAGATCGCCAGGTGACTCTAATGAGCAGTAACGTTTGGGAACCGTGAGAGGCTTCATCTCAGCAGCACTTTAGTCAAGAAGGATAATTCCCCTTGCTTAGGATATGAGACAATTAACAGCACAGCCTTGAGTCATCTCACAACTGCTTCCCTTCTCATTGCACTCTTACAATTGGAGCGACGGCCTCAGGCCACACACACACAAGAAGGGAGTAGAAGGGAAGGGACAAGTCAAAAGGATTTTGTCTGCATTGACTCTTCACTGTTGGGAGTAGTACTCAAAGATGGGGCTGTTTAAGAAAAACACTGTCCCTTAGTAACTCATCCCCAAAGGAATTGTCTTGTCTGTAAAATAGAAAGGTTGGACTAGAACAGGGGTCCTCAAACTATTTAAACAGGGGGCCAGGTCACCGTCCCTCAGACCGTTGGAGAGTGCGCACTGTGGTCCCGGGACAAGTTGGCTGCTAAGCAGGACAGGCAGTGGTGGCAAAAACACCTGGCGGGCCGGATAAATGTCCTCGGTGGGCCGCATGTGTCCCGCGGGCCATAGTTTGAGGATGCCTGGACTAGAATCTCTTACGTAATCTCCTTCCAGCTCTGACATTCTGCTATTCTTCAAAGCATTTCCTTTTGATAATTTAACTTCACACTCTGTGTGCCCTGTGGTGCCACCATGCCCAGCACCCTGGCTCCACACACATAGAAGTGTGTGTGTGTGTGTGTGTGTGTGTGTGTGTGCGCTTCTAGTTGTATTCCCACCTATATTGTATAGTACACAATACCACTCAACTCCATCAAATATGCTCTACCCATGCTACATCGTTAGAATTTTTTACTATTAACTTCGTTTCCCAATAAGACAGGGATCTGCCTATGTAGAAGCAGCAAGGCCTAGAAATCACTCACTGACCCACGTTCACCAGCAAAGCCTGGGACAGAGGCTGGCTGTTTCCTATTGATCGGCCTCTGTCCAGAGTCAGTCACTCGCAGACAGAGAAAATGACTGCAGTGGTTCATCCTAAAACCCAGCTTCTCAACCTACTAGCGTGGTGACTGTCCAAGTTTCTTCCCCTCTAAAACGGGGACCATAATGTTATTTTTCAAGACCATCAAGAGGACTCAACGATACAATCCGTGTAAGCTTGTAGCACGATGGCAGGCACGTGGTAAGGGCCCCCGCAAATATTGGATGCTACAGTTGTCGCTCCATCTAGTTGCCTGTCTGTAAAATAACAAGAATGCTTCCTGTCTTGCTGCATTGTTTTGAGAATTTAGTGACACAATGTATGTAAAGTCACTTGAATCATACCTGGCCCAGGGGAAACACTGGTTGACGATTTGGTTTCTGTTCTTTCTTATCTAGATGCACTTTTATCAATAGCTATTTCAATTGATAAGATAATTGTTCCTAGAATATTTTATTGATCCATAAGAGGGGAGGCTATTGTGCTCAGTATCTTCTCTCTTAAGTGTTGTACAATGCCTGATTATACTAATAGGTGCTTAATATACAATTAATATTTGCAATGCGCACCATCTAGGGGTTGGACGCGCTTAAGGCTCTGACTGGGGGGGAGGGGAGGGAAAGGCAACACGTGTAACCTAAACATTTGTACCCCTATAATATGCTAAAATAGAAAAAGAAAAAAAAATAATGAAATACCACCCTAAAAAAAATGAATGGATGAACAAAATTTTTTTAAAAAGAAAAAGACAAAATCTTGGCCATCTCATAGAAACACAGCAACAATAAACAAAATAAATCATAAAATAAAAATAAACACATCCTTATTCTCCTTTAATTGCAAAGACTATAGAGCTCTCTAGATGAGAGTTTCCCCAAACACACTTTAAATGCCCACATTTAGCCCATCTCCCCATTGCAAGACAAGAGTTTGGTAGCATTCACCTCCAGATTTCTCACCCATAAAGCATCCTCTTTGACACAGAATCCCAGCTAAGCTCTGTGCTCCTCCACATCGAATCCCTGCTCCTCTCCCGCTCCTGTGATGCAAATCCGTGCTTTCGAGCACCTCTGGGCCCCATTTACAAGGCCATCTTAGCACTTCTTTAAAAGATGGATTGCCCCTGCCTTGGTAAATGTCAATAGTTCTGGAAACAGCCATTAAGACTGGATGGGGAAAATCTCAGTGCACAGATTCACAGGTGATAGCCTGTAATGGATGATGCAGACCCAGGACGGGCTATCCTTTCAGCAGAAATGCTCACCTGGGGCCAGTGCTGAAGCAATCCTGGAAGGGGAGGGATGGAGTGAGAGAGAGAGCATGTGTACGAGAAATTGTGCGGTGTAGGTGTGGGCAGGGAGGTTGGGAGACTGGCAGGCGGGTTTTTCTTGTTCATCCTTAAAGGCAATTTATTGAGGTGCAACTAAAGCAACAGCTGGTCATTTTCAAATTTTCTGACACACTATTACAGATTAATGGACTGAAAAATACCCACTTCAAATGCTTGACTTACATGCAGAAAAATACTAGCTTAATATCTGACACTGGAATTTTTTCACATACTGACTGCTACGAAAGTTCAATAAACCATACATTACATTTTTTAAAGTCATCTTGGCATTTATCCCTCTGTGATCCCTTAGACTTAAGGGTTTACCAAGGCAGGGTTTTTTGGTTTTTTTCCCATTCAAATATCTAGTAGTCTGTCACCAAAACAACAAAGCAATCTTAATTATAGTTATTCAAACAATACCACTGTAATTCTCTATTTATTGCAACAAGAAAAATGTCAGAGGACAATAAAAAGATCATGTTTTCCTTCCAGAAAAACTCTAGATAATTCACTCATGTTTTTCAATACACTATTTGGAAGGCGTTTTCTAATTCAGGGTAATTAGACTTTCTCCTAATGAAATTTGAGACAAGACTGAACTCTAGATTTCATACTCAGAAAACATTTAGGGTCAACGCTTTTGAGTGCTGGTGTAATCGTACAGACAAATAAGGCGTGTGGGGCGAAGCAGCTGGCTTTACAATAACTCAACGCAAAACTGAAATTAAACAGCTTATGACTTTGTTGAATCACTTTTGCCTTTTAGTCCCTGCCAAGCCTAAGGAGAACCCATCAGCTGATCTGTTATCATGGACAAAGACAATAAAGAAGTTACCAAAGATTATGAACGCCCACCCATGCCCACACATGCACGCACACGTAAAACACAAACGCGAGCCATTCTTTTCTGAAATGTTAATCCGTGCAGTTTTTGATCTTGCTTTATCTTGCACCCATGATCCCTTCCCGTACCCAGCCAGGTGGGACTGGCTTCACACTCCTTGCTTCGAGGGAATGGAGGGCAAGCCGAGCAATGAAATCTCTCCTCTTGGCTTTGCCTTCCAAGACTTTGGGTCCTGCAGGGAAAGGGAAGCGTCCTGGCGGACAGGATGGATTCGGGAAGACCCACGGTGAGTCAGAGTAAGGCTTTCCACCTCCCACAGACAAATGACGATTCTCCAAGTGGAGGAGACAGAGGCAGGTGTGGGAGGATGAAGAGCCGAGGACTCAAGTGGACCAGTGCCATCTAGGCTGAGCTTCAGAGACGGGGGAAAACACTCCCACACGGGTAAGGGAATGTTTTCTTCATGTTATAACAATATATGTTTCTGTATTTATGAAAACCAAGGTCTAGACATAAACAAATCATTTTGCAGAATAATGAGGCAATTTTTTTTTCTAGCCCTCAAACTAGATGGCATATCTCTGGAATTGCATGGCAGAGAGAGAGAGAGAGAGAGAGAGAGAGAAAGGTAACTTAGACACCAAGGGGTCTCCCAAAAAGTCCTGCATTTTCTTGTCCAGGAATAAGTCTCCTTTGTCTTGACTAGCATGTTCTAAAGACAACATACACTCAGTGATTTTGGGTGTTTCCTTAGCTGGGCAGTTGGCCCCGTGGGTGAATGAATCAATGAGCAGAAAATGGGGCCGAAAAAGCAGAAGTTGAGTAGCATAAATCACCAGTCCTTCATCTAAAAGTTAAATTCATCCCCCAATTCCATTTCTTGCAGCCTCTTTTGTTCTGGGCAACGTGGCAAGAACAGGAGATGAATAAATCATGGCTGTGTCCTCAGGAGTTCACACTGAAGTGGGAAGGTGAAAACACCCACACAAAGCATCGAAATAACTTTGTGTGTGCCTGAGCCAAAGGGAGAGCTATTTTTTAAAAAAATAATAATAAATAAATGAACAAGGAGCTGAGAGAAAGAATCAGTGTGAGCTGAGGTGCTTGGAGAAGACATGAGTCCAGCCACAAATGCATGTAGACATTTTTTCAGTGTGGAGACAAGAGACGAGGCTGAGCAAGGCAGGTTTTGGGGACTCTGGGAAAACTGGCCCAGGTGTCAGGAGCTGAGAAACAGGGAAGAGATGCATGTGTCACCCATGTCATCCTGGCATCTACCATGTCCCTGCAAGCAGGCTGACTTCCACCTGCCATCCCCTGTGAGTCTCTGCCTGGAGATTTTCTCTGGCCATCGGTGCACGGCAGAAATGCTTGAAGATTAATACTCACCTGTGAGAACCTCTCAACTGACAGTGGTTGATGGATAAATGATCCAGTTCTCTCACCCCTCCCTCCATCTCCCAAGATTTCTCCGGCAGCGTTAGAGTCTAGTTGCCCATAGTGATAAGTGTGCTATAGATAAACATCTTTAACTGGCTTCCTTCCCAGCTCAGTCTCACATCTCCAGTCCTCTATGATTGTTACTTGAGATCATTCCCTAAATAAACTACTTGCACTTAAACCCTTGTCTCAAGTCAAACCAAGACTGGGAAGATGATGGTTCAGTTCCTCATGGATTTCTTGAGCACCTTCTCCATGCCCACACTAGGCACCCACTGTTGAGGTCACTAGCTCCTGAAGTCCCTAGCGACAAGGATCATGCTTGACCTACCCTGGTGACTTCCTTGGGAATCTGTGTGAGTCCCAGCACATGGTACATGCTCAACCACTTACTGAATGAATGAAAAGCATGACAATAACAATACAATACATTTAAGAATGTTCTATAAACCTTCCTGAGCTAAGTGATTTGCAGAAATAATCTCATTTATTCCCTCACTGAGATGCTTTACATAGGAAACCTTATGCACACTGAAAAGATTTAAAAGCTGGGGTTTAGAGAAGTTGTGTCACTAGTTAGTAGGTCACCAAGCTGAGGGCTGACACAGTGCTATTTTATTCTGAATTTAGTACCCATTATAGCTATGCCATCCTGGCCTTCTCTCTCCTGTAGCCAGGTGAGCAGGCTGCAATTAGGAAGAAATGCAAGAGGGGAAATCTGGCTTTATGTCACCAGGAAGTCAGGCTGTGATGCAAAAAGAACAAAAAGAATGTGGCTATTACATTTCTTTAAACATTTCCCGGACTCCAACAGGATATTTGCTTTATTGGTTGTAAGCCTGACCTTCCTGAGAGAGGAGCAGTTACCTCCAGGAAAGAAGATACTCATTCCTTCACCTAACGACAGAAAATTAAGACCCAGAGACTGCTGAGAGTCTGGTTCCATTATTGCAAGTTATGGACGACAAAAGAGAGTCTCAGAGAGGTCACGTGATATGCCCACCATCATGACTGTTCCTGACATGCCAGTCTCCTCTAACAAGCTGAGGCAGGCAACTATTACAGGTGAGGATAGCTCCCACCAGCTCCTGGGCCCGTAGGCTGCACCGAAGGTGGGGAGAATTCAGCCCTATGCATCATCTGGGGCAGTGCTTCTCAAACTATCTAGAGAGAAGAACTCTCTAGATTTCACGTTATAATTTTTTACATGCATATATTGTTAGTTATTTTAAAATAAATTTTACTGTATATATTTAAGGTATGCAACATGATGTTGACAAGATACATATACACAGGTAAAGAGTTAATATAGTGGAACATTAACATACCGATCATCTCACATGGGTATCTATATTTATGCCCTGCGGCAAAGTATAGCTATAATCTACTCATTTAGCAAAAATTCTGAATACAATACACCATCGTCAACTGTGGTCCTCATGTCCTGCATTAGCCCTTTCTACTTGTTCACCCTACATATCTGCAACTTTGACCTTAGATCGCGCCATATCCTCACTGTACCCTCCCACCATCCTGGCAATCACTGGTGTATTCTCTATCTCTGCATATTTGACCTTTATTTGCTTTTTTAGATTCCACGTGTGAGATCGTGTAGTATTTTTTTCATTCTGTGTCTGGCTTATTCCACAATTTTTTAATGTCCGATTCACTGCAGACCGTTACCTCTGTAAAACACAATAAATATGAGTCACTACCTGTCACAGCAAGGTCAAATGGCTCTAAAAATTCCTGAACACTTAGTCTTGATTTCTACGCTCATCTTGATGTGGGCCAGCGATGACAGTTTGTGCTTTGGCCCTGGCCCTCTGATCACGCACACGTTGAGCAGCACAACATGAAGGGGCAGGAAAGGAAGAGGGAATGCACACGAGGCAGCATCCGTGCCCAGTTCTGCAGGCAGCAGTGTGCTGTCCCGCCTGTCCTTCACGCATAGTCCCTGGCAGCAGTGCTTCTCTGCACCACCTGTGACCCCCAACGCACACGGGCATTGGTCCCCAGGACCTTCAACTCCTGCATGCCCAGACCTCCTTCCTTAGCTCCCTACACCTGCTACTGAAGCATTGGCTCTTGTCCCCAAGGCTGCATCAGAAGAATGAGGACAAGTGGTTTGAGGAGAAGGAGAGGGAGGTTTATTAACTTGCCAGCAAATGAGGAAGATTGAGACTGCCGTCTTTAAGTGCCATCGTCCTAACTGTATGCAGAGATACAGAGCTTTTAAAGGGAGGGTTTCCAGCTTCAGGCTGTTGCTGTTTAACTACAGTTGGTGGTTCTGATCAATCCCTTCTCCAGCCAAGACAATCTAGTGATCCAGACAATTCCGTTGAGCCATCTCCTGTGGTACAAAGCACAAAGGACACTCCCCTGCCCCTCTGATTACTGACCTCGGGCAACGATGCAAGTTTTAATTGCCTGAAATAATAGGGGGAGTTTTTAAAGAGACAACTTGTAAAACATTTTACTCTTTTCCATGCTGTTCCCTCTGTTATACACACCTCAATATCCCTGTACAACCTCAACAAGATTTACCCTGTGGCCCATCTCAGCTACGATTTATTCTCTGCTCCAACAGAACACAGGGTGATCCTGGAGGTAATAATCTTCAGTCCATAAAACAATGGTCTCCAAAGTAGAATGCTTACATCCTGTGGGGTGTGCAGAATGACCTACTGGACAATACGCCAAGCAAATGTCATTTCTATTCATACTTTTCTTTCACCCTTTAAAAATTTCTGCTTTTAAGGTGTCATGTATAATGCACTTGCTATAGCAGTATAGTACATAAATTAACAGATAACATGACACGGATGTCAGCTCTTTTTTTTTCTTTCTCACAGCAGAACTCAATGAAAAAAATTGTTTTTTGAAGCTTTAACAATCTAAGACTCATACCTTGTTTAAAATGCAAATTGCAGGGGCACTGTAGATTCAGTTTTGTTTGTTCTATAGCTGGGCCCCGGAATATGGATTTTTAATAACCCTCTTCCCTCAGCAAAGTGGTTTTGATGCAATTGTTCCAGGTCCATCCTAGGCCATCCTCTGTGCATAAAAGGCAGGATATTTTGTTAGAAGAAATTGATATTAATATTTGTGAGATTTTAGGTGATGCTAATTCATCAGTAAGAACAGAGTACTCATTTAACAGTGACATTTTAAAGTAATTAATTCCTACACTTGAAAACAAGGTCATTGTCTCCAAAACTCGATGCTCATTAAGATTCCAAAAGTAGAAATTAAGGGAGAGGAAGTCATTTATTCTGGAAAATGCAAACATCAAAGAGAAGATGCTGTTCTTTTTAGATGAGTCCAAATGAATGTCGTGTTGACCTGCAGAAAAACTATTAAAATGTGATATAAGGAAAGAATTTAAAACATGTTTTTACATACTTGGAGATCAGTTGATGGTCAATCAGGCCATCATGGACATTCATAGGATTTGGTGAAGGAATGAATTTCATTCACTGAACACATCACAGTGATGGGCATTGTGCCATAGAAGAGTGACATGGAGGTGCCCACGTGGAGACAGGGTGAAGCAAGATATTTGAGCAATTACAAAATAAGAAATTCAGCCATTAATTAAATAGCAAAGACGGAGCTCAAGGAAAAACCTGTAGGGCTTTCTCTGACAGGCGAATCCGGCATTTCATGATTTGGTATAATACCATGTTCCCCCGAAAATCAGACAGGGTCTTATATTTATTTTTCCTTAAGAAGACACCCTAGGGCTTATTTTCAGGGGATGTGTTATTTTTTTAAGTACAGTACAACAATCTCCATTTATTCAAATAGAGTGAAGTCATCTTCTTCTGGAGCATCATCCTCACTCTCCAAACCCCGAATCCCATCTTGAACGTCTTGCGACTCTGTTTCCTTTAGAGCCATCGGCCCCGATCTCTCCTGCCGAGCACTAGAGCTGTCACCGGCGGATGAGAAGGGCTGCTCGTGTTCTTTCCCGCTCCGCGACGACACGCACGGGTTGTGCAGACGCTGCGCAGCCACGCCCCTCACTAGGGCTGATTTTCGGGGTAGGGCTTCTATTGCTCACATGCTCAGACATCCTGCTGGGGCTTATTTTATGGGTAGGGCTTATTTTCGGGGAAACACGGTAGTTCAACCCTCCACCTTACAGGGGAGACCTTGTGTTTAAGTCAAAATTCATAATGACACGGAGACAACCAAGAAGGTAAATTGAGCAACATCTCTTGAGTTCATCTACTTGTTCGTTTATTCACTGAAAACTTAGAAAACTTATTAAGTACCTACAAGGTATCAACTATTGTATGATGCACTAGAATGAATTTCGAGCAAAACAGTCATCATGGGGGGGGAACCCAACATCAAATAGATTATCCCACAAATAACAGAACTGCAGTGGTGTTGAGCACGATGAGTGAGAAGCACAAGGCTATGGGGGGGAGGGGGGTCAGACAGGAAGGCAGGGCAGGTAGGTAGGAAGGTGGGCAGGAAGGAGGGCCTGGAGGTAACAGGAAAAGGGTGAGGCCACAGGGAAAGACAGGAACAGAGTGTAGAGCTTGCAGAGAAGCCTAGAGGTTTTGAATTTTTATGGGGAGAGCAACCTTTTTATAATAGTTTAAGTAGTTTCAAAACACTATTTAGTAATATTTCTAACTGTTCTCCAGTAAAATGTTCATTTTTAAAAAAAAAAGAAAAAAGGAGCATTTCCAGACATTCTAATTTGAATAAATTAAAGTTGTACTACTAGTGAATTACATTTTATAATTTTCTCATGGGGAAAATAAATGAGAAATAAAGCAAGATGCTGTTGGTCATTTCCTTTCTATTGTCCTGCCCCATTGCCTTCTACAAATGCAGCACTGGATGTCAGCCGATTCAAAGTCTGAATGGCCCAGTTTGTGCAGTAAAGACACCAAGCTCATCTGTATCATCTTTGTGCCTTTAAAGAAACGTGAATGCGAAGCGATAGGAACACTCCTACACTGCTGGTGGGAGTGCAAACTAGTTCAACCTCTGGGGAAAGCAATATGGAGATACCTCAAAGTGATACAAGTGGATCTTCCATTTGATCCAGCAATCCCACTACTGGGCATCCACCCAAAAGATCCAATGACACTCTACATAAAAGACACCTGCATTCGAATGTTTATAGCGGCACAATTCACAACTGCAAAGCTGTGGAAACAACCCAAGTGCCCGTCAATTCATGAGTGGATTAATAAAATGTGGTATATGTATACCATGGAGTGCTATTCAGCTTTAAGAAACAATGGTGATCTAGCACCTCTTGTATTTTCCTGGATAGAGCTGGAACCCATCCTACTAAGTGAAGTATCTCAAGAATGGAAAAACAAGCACCACATGTACTCACCAGCAAATTGGTATTAACAGATCAACACCTAAGTGGACATATAGGAGTAACATTTATCAGGTGTCGGGCAGGTGGGAGGGGGGAGGAGGGGATGGGTATATACAAACACATCGAGTTAGATGTGCAATATTTAGGGGGGATGGACACGCTTGAAGCTCTGACTCGAGGAGGGAGGGGGAGCAAGCGCAATATACGTAACCTTAACACTTGTACCCCCATAATATGCTAAAAAAAAAAAAACTATAGCTAGTGGCCAGGTGCCTTGGTCCACGCCTAAAACCGCAGCATTTTGGGAGGCTGGGAGGGAGGATTGCTTGAGGCCACGAGTTTGAGACCAGCCTGAGCAACAGTAGCAAGACCTTGTCTCTACCAAAAAAATAAAATAAAAATGTTTTAAAAAAACATTATCTGAGCATGGAGATGAATGCCTATAGATCCAGCTACCTGGGAGGCTGATGTGGGAGGATCCCTTGAGCCTAGTTCAAGGCTGCAGAGAGCTATGATTGAGCTGCTTCACTCCAGCCTGGGCAACAGAGAAGACTTTAAAAAAAAATCTAGGGCCGGTGTTTCTCAAAATGAATAAAATAAGCTGTATAAAGAATAACTATGTAGTTCTCTAAGCTAAAAAATAAAAGTTAAGATAGTATTTTATAAATAAAAAAATTAAGAAGTGCTTCCTTCCAATTTCCGATATACAAAGTGAAAACAATTCTGCTTATATAGCATTTTCATCCTAATATTTGAGTGTTCTTGATGGAGAATAGGCAGGAAGAGTAAACAGTGTGGTCTATCAAGAGACTTTCTTCCTCCTCCAGTTTGCTTTGTATTTTAGTTCTTCCCAAAAAATACTTCAAAAGTTTGGTGCTGTCAATATTAGAAACGGAGCACCTTCATTTATTTTAATCGAACAAAATTTGCACTCACCACTCATCGAAAATATTTACGCATTTTAAGTTGGCCGAAAAAGAGGAAATCATTTTATTTTCCATTAAGCTTGTTTGTGGGAAAATAGCAAACTCTTGGCCTCAAAACTGCTTTTCATTTCCACCAACAAATCTTACCCTTGCCAAATTGTTTTACAATAATTACAGCTTTTCAAGTGGTTTTTCAGCAACACGCAAAGACCCGTTTTTTCCTGTGAGTACTCATTCATATTACAATAGTTGAAAAAACAATGTTAGTTTGCATGGTTCTAAACGTAAACAAACCTGGGGTAGAGAAGTAGCATTAATTTTCTTTGCACAGAAAGCAGAATGCCATCTTCACAAAATTTCTGCATGCTCAGTTTTCTAAGTCCACTGGACTGGGATGGCTATCCTATAAGAAACAGGGCTGTCATGTTCGCCGTTAAATAGAGTGCCTTCTCCTAGCCACGCTACAGCATGCAACACTCAGCTTAAGTCGTCAGCACCCATCTGCAGACCCTTGACACCCACCGTTTCCACACTGGCGCATAGCTTCTGACTGCACGTGGCCACCACTCTAAGCCCAATATGAAGCTTTCCTTGGCTACAGATGGATGTTCAGCCCTCACACCAGGCAGGAAGAATAGCTGGGAAGTTTCTGGTCCCAGAAATGACCTTCAACCCGTAACTCACACGAGTTGGTGGCTTCCTTGACTTCCACATGGTTGCCACAACTCTGAGCCATGATCTCCACCGTCTCTCAGAGGGCCCACAGCCATAACCTGCTCATTAACCGACCTTGAACTGTCCTCCCTCCCATCCCTGCCTCAGTGCCCCAAACTCCCACATGGGCCTCCTGGGTTACCTTACAATAAAACCACTTGCTTTCATATCATTGTTTCAAATCCTTAGATTGTACAGAACTCACCTGACACAAATACGTTTTTCCAAGTAAGTTCCAAGCTGTCAATTTTGCTTCAAAAACTACACACTTGAGTATCTGTGCAGAAAATAATGACCTTTACATTTTCACAGGCAATGACCTCAAAGACATGAAATGACAAAATCTTTTTGGGCTGCCAATATTGTATGCCAGATCCTAGGAATACAATGGTAAACAAGTGCCCAACCACTGCCTTTACCTAGGTATGGTTTTAACTCCATGACAAAGAATCTCAGATGTACTGACTAATGATTTCAGAAGTGACGAAAGGTCTTGCATTTTACCTTCGAAAATGCCACTTTAAGGTTTCATATCCTTCCGTGAAAGACTATAAGACCAATGGCGATTACCCTTGCTTGCCATCACAAACGCCGATAAAAATCTAACGATATTCTTTCAGAAAAATTCACAAATGTAGAGGTTATGTACATGGTGCGTACAATTTCAGAGATCTCTCAGTCTTCCAAAACCCTACGCATGACATATTTAGAGGTCTTGGGACCCAGGCAAAAATGCTATGCCCCAGACCAGAGCTGTCCAATGGAAATACAATAAAAGATGAATGTAATTTTAATTTGCTACTAGTCGCATTTTACAAAAGCAAAGAGAAACAGATGAAATTAAGCTTAATACTATATTTTAATTCTCCTTATATATCCAGCTTGTTATGATTTCACTATGTAATCAATATAAAAGTTACTAATAGGCTATTTTATATAGTTTTTTCAATCTGTCTTTCAAATTTCAGTGTAACAGTTGACCCTTATAGGACATCTCAATTCAGGTTGTCTACATTTCAAATGCTCAGTAGCCACCTACGCCCAGTGGCTGCCATATTGGATAACACAGCTCTAAAGGAAGAAGTACTGGAAGTTTGTTTTCCTGATATTCCTCTTTTCCCTTTACCATGACCTTCTGCCCTTGGAGCATCATCTAATTATAGAGGACTTTGCAATTTCCCACCTGGTCTCATGGCAAAAGTTATCTAATAGTCTGTCTTCTTCCTACTGGGAAAGGCTCTTATCTGTCATGTTAGCAAGGACATAAAAACCTACCCATACTCTCATGTTAAGAGTTGACAAGTTTTAGAGCAGGTGTCCTCAAACTTTTTAAAAAGGGGGCCAGTTCGCTGTCCCTCAGACCGTTGGAGAGTGCGCACTGTGGGCCCGGGACAAGTCGGCTGCTAAGCAGGACAGGCAGCAGTGGCAAAAACACCTGGCGGGCCGGATAAATGTCCTCAGTGGGCGGTATGTGGCCCATGGGCCGTAGTTTGAGGACGCCTGTTTTAGAGTAAGAACTGCAAAGAGGCTTTGCTCAAATACCAATTATGATCATTTTCGTGTGTTTTCCAGTGTTGAGGAGGATTCTGAGTCCACGTTTGGTCAGAGTACAAAGGCGTGTCATGATTGATTGGCCATGTTCCTTACTAGAACACAGATTAACGGACAGCATATGACCTACATGTTCCCTGACAAGAGGTGTTCACCATTTATCCAGTGTTCCTTAACCCAAAGAAATTATCCTTCAGTGAAGAAATTTCAGTCACGTGCACTTAGTGATTACTGATCTATGCTTTTGTCTCTGGAATCTTTAAGAAATCTGTAGACTATGCAACAAAGTAAGATATATCAACATGGATAGAGATATTTCTCCGAAAGGAAAGTAAGCTCATGTATGACACAGAAAAGAACAGAATTTGGGGAGGAAAAACAGGAGCTAAAAGAAAGGTCTGTGGCCAAGTTCTGGGCTAGCAAGAATCAGCAATACCACTGGAAACTATCTGCTGCTCACTCCATTGGGTAGTTACAATGTGGGGCGCTCATCCATCCACCACCGTCTAACTGGATTCTCATGACAACTGTACAAAGTAGGCTGCAGAAGAGAAGTTGCCCAACGGCCAGATGAAGACTGTGGACTGGGAGAGTGATTAGTGTAAAAATATACAGGACGCCTGGGGACATTCTTTCTACTAGACTCCACCAGCACCTCCTCCCTCCATCTTTTCCAAAATGGCAGACACTGACTGCCTATGGGAAGTTATCTTTTCTACCTTGGTTTGTAAGTGTTTGGAGTTAGAAACCCTACGAATGAATGGCCTTTCATTCTCAGGAGCAGAATTAGGTACTTAATTGTTTATAATCATGGTAATTAAATCCATTCTTTTTTTTTCCTCCTTCATGTAACAGGGGATATTTCCAGGCACCCTCCTCTCCTACCCCCCATAGTCTGTCAATAAATGAATTTTCTGTTCTGCCCTATTTTTGGCTTTTTTTCCTCAGGTTGTGCCAATGGAAAACATAGGTGGAAAGAAACGCTTTGGGGTTAAAGAACTAGAAACATTTGCTTCCTGCTGAGCTAACTATAGACCATTCTGTGCAACAGAGAAACAAGCAGAGCCCAGATGTCAGCTGGGCTCACTCAGTCCTTGACAATTGAAATAAAATCAGTTAGGGTTCCATCTAATGAATAGTGGGACACGCCTACCTGCTGTCCAGAACACGCTGGGAATTTGAGAGGCGGTACGTATGTTTCTCATAATCATCGCTGTCTGAAAATTCCTTATTCTAATAAATTAGTCCAGTTTAGACCTCTCTTTACTGTAACATTTTTTGCTCCAGGACTCTGCATGCCAGACAGGACCTTCTATTTTCTTTACTTTGCCCAATGCTACAAGCACTGGGCTATGTGTACAGCAGGCAGAGGTTTAAGGCAGCAAGCTAAAGAAGAAAATGGTTTACACCAGGGGTCCTCAAACTTTTTAAACAGGGGGCCAGTTCACTGTCCCTCAGACTGTTGGAGAGTGCGCACTGTGGGCCCGGGACGAGTCGGCTGCTGAGCAGGACAGGCAGTGGTGGCAAAAACACCCGGAGGGCCGGATAAATGTGCCAGGTGGCCCGAGGGCCGTAGTTTGAGGACGCCTGGTTTACACCATAGCAAGTAACTTAGAACTGAATGAGAACATCCCTGTTGGGGATAATATGACCCTGTAGGTTGTTTAGTCCCCCCTCTCTTCTCCTGCTTGCTTCTCTTTTACTGTATGTCCAACCACGCAAGCAGGAGACTTGAACTCCTTCTTTGTTTCAAAATCCCCTTACAGACAATTCTTTAGTCCTTCAACATCCCTACCTCGTCAGTCTATTTTTTTCCCTCTCTCTCTCTCTAAAAAATTGATGCTCCCTCTCTAAAATGCATTTTGTCAGCTCTGTTTAAATAACAGAAAACTGTATTTATTTTTACCCTGCCTCTGGGTCAGTTTCCCCAGAAGCAGACCTGGGACCAGGATGTGTGTGCAAGCGATTTATCCCGAAAGGGCTCCCAGGGTAGCCTGGCAAGCACTGAAGGGAAGCAGCAGAAGTCGAGCAAAAGTCAAAGCTCATGCAAAGCTGTTCGGAGGCTGCCTGCAGCCTGATTCCACGGGGCGCTGTGGAGCGCACGCTATGTAAGGCTCAGCTGCCCCAACCAGGGACCAGCCATGAGTCACTGACCCAGGGCCACTGTATCAGCCTGGGTTCTCCAGAGAAACAGAACCAATAGAAGATAGATAGATGCATATTAAGAGCTAGATAGCTATATCATTACGATATATATAATTATATGTTATATAGACAGAAAGGAAACAACCCAAGTGCCCATCAATACATGAGTGGATTAATAAAATGTGGCACCTGTATACCATGGAGTACTATTCGGCTGTAAGAAAAAACAGTGATCTAGCACCTCTTGTATTTTCCTGGATAGAGCTGGAACCCATTCTACTGAGTGAAGTGTCCAAGAATGGGGATAAAAAGCACCACATGTACTCACCAGCAAACTGGTATTAATGGATCAACACCTAAGTGGACATACAGGAATAACATTTATCGGGTGTCGGGCAGGTGGGAGGGAGGAGGGGGGATGGGTGTATACATACATAATGAGTGAGATGTGCACCGTCTGGGGGATGGTCACGCTTGAAGCTCTGACTCGAGGGGGGAGGGGGGCAACGGCAATATACGTAAATTTAACATTTGTACCTCCATAATAGGGAGGGAGGGAGGAAGGAAGGGAGGGAAGGGAGGGAGGGGAGGAAGGGAGGAAAGGAAGGGAGGAAAGGAAGGGAGGAAAGGAAGGAAGGAAAGGAAGGAAGGAAGGAAAGGAAAGAAGGAAAGGAAGGAAGGAAGAAGGAAGAGGAAGGGAGAGGAGGGAGGAGGAGGGAGGGAGGAGGGAGGGAGGTGAAGGAGTGAGGGAGGGGAGGAGGAGGGAGAGGAGGGAAGGAACAAGGAAAAGGAAGGAAGGAAGGAGAAGAAGGAAGAAGGAAGGAAGAAAGGAAGAAAGGAGGAGGGAGGAGAAAGGGAGGGAGGAAGAAGGAGGAGGAAGGAGGGGAGGAAAGGAAGGGAGGAGGGAGGAGGAAGGAGGGAAGGGAAGGGAGGGAAAAAGAATGGAAAGTAAGGAGGAAAGAGAAATGAAGGAAGAAAGGAAGGGAGGGAAAGGAAAGAAAGGAAGGAATCTATTGTAACGAATTGATCAGATGGTTCCAAAAAGGTTTCAAGTCTAAAAAATCTGCAGTCACCAGTGAAACCCGATAGGGCCAACAGCATCATTTCATCTGACTGAAGTGAAAAAGCAGAAGGAAACAGAGGTCCTAGCTCAAAGAACAGTCAGGGAAAGCAAATTCCCTCGTTCAAGTCCTTTTTTTCTATTTCTGCCTTCAAGATTTATGTATATTTTTGAATATTGTTTGCCAGCCCAATTAGGGAGGGCAATCTGCTCTAAACCAGCCTACCCACCTCAAGTGGTCAACATCATCCATGAAGACACGCTCACGCCAGACACACCCAGAATAATGTTTAACCAAATATCTGGGGCACCCTGTGGCCCAGTCAGTGTTTACAGTATAAAATTAACATCAGAAGTCCATAGGCGGGTGCGTGTCACGCCTGGTATAACTAGCACTCTGGGAGCAGAGGCGGAGGATTGCTCAAGGGTCAAGAGTTCAAAAACCAGCTGAGCAAGAACCCGTCTCTACTAAAAAATGAAAGAAGAAATTAATGGACCAACTAAAATATATTTAAAGAAAAAATTAGCCGGCAAAGTGGTGCGTGCCTGTAAGTCCCCAGCTTACTCGGAGGCTGAGGCAGGAGGATCACTTGAGCCCAGGATTGAGGTTGCGATGGAGCGAGGCTGATGCCACGGCACTCACTCTAGCCTGGGCAACAAAGTGAGAGTCTGTCTCGAAAAAAAAAAAATAGAAGTCCACCCCTTGCCAACTTAGCACCCATATGCGTCTCCTTAAACCATACTTAGTCCCCAAATAATGACAATAACAAGGTCACAATTTCACCTATTAATGACACGATACAACTATCCTGTGTACAATCGAAAATACATTAACCCTTTGCCCAAAGTCCTTGCGATGTTTACTCTTTTCTTTAGAATCTCCAAACTGAAATAGTGTGATATGAAATTAGCAATACCTACATACTATGATATAAAGTCCATACATCTTACCTTGCACAGAAGGGAACAGAGAGGGAAAAAAAAACAATGATTTTTGCCACACATGGGTGTGTACATATATATGCACACACACATATATATCATATGTGTATATATACACATTCATAACAAAATTAGGAGATACTACTGACTATCACAGTCCTCATTTCTACAGCTGGCCACATGGCCATAGCTGGTATTTGTAGCTACCTTCTTCCACTGCCAATTCTGCATTCCCCTTGCCTTCAGCACACATGAAATTAACCACCACAGGCAATTCCTGGGCATTTGTGAGTACAAAGTGGCTCAAGGAGCCTGAGGAGGGAGGGAAGTCCTCCCAAGATGAGCTCTGGATGCTGGTTGGGAGACTCAAAAGTCATACAGGAAACAGGTGTGCGAAAAGGTTAAACAGGAATCCGGTAGGAACCGGGTAGAGTTCCAACACTGTGCTCAACACCTGCTTCACAGGACATTTGTAACAAGTGGGAATTTCTTGACATCCTGTTCCTCTGTATTTTCAGTGCTCTGCCCTACAGGTCCACGGGCGCCACCAGATCCAGGCCTGTGTTCTCTGCTCTGCACCTCTCCCTACACCCTTGTTATCTGCAAACAGTGTCAA